TATTTATCTATCTATCTATCTATCTATCTATCTATCTATCTATCTATCTATCTATCTATCTATCTATCTATCTATCTATCTATCTATCTATCTGTAAACAATTCTGTGAGCGCGGGTGGTTAGCAGACGCTCTGATGTGGTTTGCTCCTTCTTTCTTATCAAACCTCCATCGCCCTGATCTGTCTTCCTTCTTTTTTGTCTTTGCTACTCTTTCTTGTAACACTTCTAATCTTCTACACCTATCATGACCTTATTGTGTTGCAAGTGCCGTAAAACTCTTAGTAAAAGTTCTGTGAGTTTGAGCACAGGTTGTGACGCGCACCAGAAATATGACGTAGACACAGAGTGCAACACATGTGAGGCAGCGAGGTGGAATCAGGCTCTCGTCAATTTTTGGGCATGTAGAGTTATGGGTATCATCTTAACGCTTGTTCACTTGTCCTTATTAGGATGAAAACAAAATACATTTATCTTGAATACAAGTCGAGATATTTGCGAAAGAACGAGATGGGGGTCACCTGTTTTCAGAGGTAAAATTAGTGAGAAAATGGCCGCCAAAGATAAGTTATTTCCTTAGCTTAAGAGTCTGTGGTAACTGAAAATTTACATTTTTGTGCCTTTAATCAACGCTTTTCCGATAAATTCACTCAGAAATGAGTTCTTTAAAGGGCATGAAAGGTGTTGAGCCAAAAAACAAAAATTTGATAAAAATTCACAAACCTGCTGAAAAATGCAAGTCTCTTCACTTTGATTATTTTGACGAGAGCCCGATTCCACCACGCTGACTCAAATATGACGTAGACGCAACAGATATTACATAGTCCCTGTATGCAGATGCACATGATTATTGCATGCATAACATATTTTTATCATAGGGCATTATTGCTGAGTCCACGGTAATGGGCAAATACTATTTGAAATAAGATCAACATTATGAGCTCGCTTCCTGGCATGTAATATTTGCATGTATTGTGCACACATGTCTTGTAAATCTACGTGTTATGAAAGTGGGTGTGGGTGTGTTTATGTGTATGTGTGTGTGTGTGTGTGTGTGTGTGTAGAGGTGTGTACGTGCGTGCATGTGTGTGTGCATGCATGCGCATGTGTTGAGTTGTTTCGATTTTAGAGAGGGCAGGTGAAGCAAAAAATAGGGTAGGCAGTATTTGCAGAAAGATGTTTTAATTTCGGTTATATTAATTCGGCCTGCCTCATTTCATGTAGTGGATTAATAACAATTATAACGGAATGCGACAAATTTCTATACAATTCGAAAAGTGAATTTAACTTTAGATTCAATTACGGAGGCAGATTACTTCTACATTCTCTGCAAGGGCCAAAACCCGCAATCTGGGATAGACCTACAGAAAAGCAGACGGGAATCCCCCCCCCCCAAAGAAAAAAAAACCCCAAAGAAAAAAACGAACAAACAGCC